CAACAACCAGAGTGGGAGGGGTCAGCACATATTGTAAAAAGAAATACGGACAAACTGGGGTTAAGGTTCAGACCGGAGCTGTGACCCAGTTCAGGGATTGAATGTTCCAAAGTCATTTTAAGACTAAATAATAGATTGACAAAGCCTCCCTCCAGCTGAAAAATGGTGCCGCTGAAATTTGGAGGACACAACTAATGTATCCTTCCTTTTTTTCAACAGTTAATAAGACTTATTTCACAGCGGACATTTTGACTGAAAGCACAGGTTTTTTTTATCAGTTTGACAAAATACCAAGAAAGTGAAAACTGAAGCAGCTTCACCGAATTCAATCATTAATTTGTATTGTTGTTTTCTTTCTGTGACATGTGAAAATGCCTGATGAAGGCCTGTGGTGAACTAAGATGACAACGCTGTATTTACTGGTAAATGAATCACTGGTATACGAGCATTTCAGGTAATAAACTTTTGTTTGTTCTCGTCAGCAGCCTGAACATGTTGAAGCACAGCTCTTTACAGAGAACTCAATGGAAAATAATTTGTTTATGACCAACCTAGCATGTTTTTTTATCCAGTTGTCCAACAAGTTTGTCACAACTATTATAATAAAATTGTGTACAGTGTTTGTTGGCTGCTTGAGGACAACTTGCAGGTCAAACACACCATTTGTTTTGGTCTGGACCGTCTAATATTAGAATAACAGGTTCAGCCACACCTTCAGGTCAACACGAAGGACACACCTTCATGCGCCACCACATTCAAAAGATAAAGTAGAGCTAGACTTTCAAATAACCCCCCCCCGCCCCCAAATACACACACACACACAGACAGCGCTCAGCTTCATACACACCTTCAGTGTAAAGTCAGGGCAAGTGTTAATCCAGCCAACGATTTATCGCCTTGGCAGGCAAAGTGCTGTTAGGATTAATTTGTTAAAAAGAGATTGGCACATACCAGCCACTTCAGCCCTCTGGGAGAAAGACATTGTTTATTACCAGTTAACAGAGAGAGCGATCAGTAACATGTCAAACACCAGCTGTTTTTCATATTGTATCCAGTGGAAGAATGGCATCTTCTGTTTTGGAAATTCCTTGATACAGCCAGAATTTGGATGAGAATCTGCCTTCACCAAAATAAAGACATCAATGTAATCCACCATGCATTCAAGGAAAAGGTAACTGGAGTTCCACGTCAACATAAACTGAAGCTGTGATATATTAAATGTCAGATTGAAACATGACTGGAAACTGGTTTGAACTGATATCAGACAAATATTTGGGTCGTTAATTCATGTAACAATGTGGATACTGTCTGTGGATGAGCACAAGTGTCGTCTAAACTTTCTTTTTGGCACCACATTTTTTCAGTGTCGGCCCAGGCTGTGTCAGTGATGTCTAAATGTTGTCAGTTAGGTAACCAGTCTTGTTTGTACAAGTGACTATTAAGTTGTAGCTAACATATTCCATGTCAATCACATCTGTATAAAATACAATAAATCTATTTTTTATTATATCTTGTGTTTTTT